AATTTATTTTAAAATTAATCAATATTTACTCAAAATTTATTTTATTTTCAATATTAAAATTATTAAATGAATTTTTCAATTATCATCACGTAAATCTGCTCAATGTAGTACAAACAAATATTAAATCATTTAGAAATCATTTAGTTCGTGAACGTTATTGCATTTCGTGCGAGATTGAAAATTCGTGAAATGGAATGTCGCAGCGCTGATTCCATTATCTATTGAAATAAGCTGCCAAATCAAGGTGTGAGGAGAGAGGGAGAGCGCGAAAGTATCGTCATAACATAAACAAGTTCACGTTCCGATGACGCAGCCATGTGACGCATGCAATACATGCAAACTTCACACGCATTCAAACACACGTTCACATACATATACCAAGCTCTGTGTTTGTGTGCATATCGCACACGAGACCAAGGCCTGTGTGCGAAGAGCGAGAGCAAAAGCATTTCATACGAGAGCTTACGAGCTTGGCAACAACAAAAATCTGAAGCTAGAATATGAGCGAGTAATGAAAAAAAAAAAACGGGTTTCGAACGCATGACTTTTGATGGAGCGGCAGAGAAACAGTGAGCCAACAAATCTGTTTGGCGCTATTTCGCAAGCGCAACAGCCAGCGCATGTGTCCGTTGGCACTGAGCTTAACGTATTTGTATTTTGAATTTAAATTCAAAATTAACGCTCGCAGCGTGCGTACTCACAGACACAAATACATATGCACACACACAAAAATGTGTATGTGTACTCATGTGAGCGTGCTACAGCTTCTACAGCATGTGAGAGATATTAAGTGAATTATGTTTCGTATAGCTGCGGTGTTTCGCGATTTGAATATTGGCCGTTGTAATTCAGGCAAAGCGAAACTCATTTTAATAGAGAAACAGATTTGTATTTGTAGTTTACTCTTTAGAGGTCTTCCGGCTATGCGCTGTGATGTGATGATGGCCCCTAAACGCAGTATTCATGTCTACGCGCCTGTACCAATGCCATTGACAAGTTTTGCTCTGCCAGATTCGTGTATTGAAGCAGCACAAGGTGATAGTTGAGGATGCCGGCTGTTCACAAAAACAGAAAAAAAAACGCAACGTTATGGGGCAGAGGAACCAAAGACGATGTGATGCGATGAATCCTAAGTGTACAAACAATAAGTGAGCGAGGTGGGATTCAATTGTTCTATGTTTAATACTAACTATCAATATGTATAAATTAATCATTTTTATTGCAAAGCTTTGTAAAAGACAATATGAGACTTATCTCAAGCTAAAAAATAATGCTAGTCCTCCTATAAATTAGTTTTGCTTCACATTCAGTACAGTATAATCAAAAACTAGCACTTTTCAAACACACCTCGCACCCAGATCGACAGATGAATGCACACATGCACAAATGCATACATCTGTTTTTCGGTTGCACGATGGTATGWAGGTATGTATACTTGGAAATCACCTTGCAACAGCTGCAACATCCTCGGACGTACAGCCATCCCTCACAATTTAGGGGTTGCTGCTGCAGACGCGGAGTTCGGAAAATGGAAATCTACCTGTAGTTGTAGTTGTCTTTACCTGCATACACACATACAGATGTATGCATACATGCATCTGCATTGCATACATGTGTATGTGCATTTGTATGTTACTGATCTGCTCTGTGCTCTGGCATAATTCCCTGTGTGTAGGCCAATGATCTTTATTTTTTGGAGTCGCAGCTGCTCAACGAAATCATAAACTGCGACGCGCACATCGAATAATTATTGCAGGCATTTGTACACACATACATACAGATATGCATACATGTATGTATATCTACATACATACAAAATATATACATACATATCTATGTATATCAATAGTTATAAATCCACATCGATAGTTAATTATTCATAGGTTGATTAATTTGAAGCATCTTTAGTGAAAGTGCATTGTGGAATGCAAATGAAAGGTGTGCTGATTTACTACGTACATACACACATAAAAACATACATACATATGCACATACCGCATGCGATTGCTCTAGCTGCTACAGTCACCGTCTTTCGGTATTCACTGTATAAGTATGTATGTATAGATAATTATTGTATGTATGCGTGCACATTCATAGCATATAGGGGTAGTTTTCAAGCATTGAAAACCCATAAAACGCTGGCATATGGCATCTGAAATCAACGTTTCATTCTCAATAGAATATTTCCGTGTACATTTAATTATAAACGCAAGCGTACAGGCATGTAAAGTGAAGGCAAACGCTTGTATTTCAACGTTCCACGCAGTTGTATTCGAAAATAACGTCGCACTAGCGCCAACTTTCTCACACATACCAATGCAAGTATTGAAAACGAAGCCCTGGTATGTTTCAATTCCAGTTGTCACTCGTGTATATGTGTCCATTTCACTGTTGAAGGTTGCTCATCGAGAGTCGATGTACAGTTGACTTCAAGCAAGAGCATAAATCTAGAAGACAGCTTGACGTCACAGACTTACATTTATGTGGAAAATAGCCGAAGTAAGCAGAATGTTATAGGTATTATTTATTATTATAGACCGCACTAATATTTTTCAATTAATAAGTAAAAAATAATTTATTTACATCAACTGATGATGATT